GTGACTCAAGCTAGGCCAATAAGAGTGCTCCCCTGGGACTTTAAATGTGGAGCCAGGGGAGGAGTATTCCTTCCTCTTGGGCTGCTAAGCTGTGAGAACATGAGTTCAGAGCTGCCATGGTTGAGCATCTTCCATTCATAACGAAAAACCTTATCAGCAATGGGAGGGGAAGAAGCTGATGTGTGGAGGGAAACAGAAGCAAGAGACTGGGTGGGGAGGCCTGTTGGTGTTCAACCCCCCAGAGCCAGCTCCCCATCCCTATGGCATTTGGGGTGGGGGATGTGGAGAGGTAGGGGGAGAACCAGGAGACGCATGTGGCAGAAACTGAGATGTAGTGGGGGAGGATCGAAAAGAAATGGGTGGTTGCCCATGGAGAATGACAGCAGGAAACCACCTGCTGGTGTGGCAACTAGAATCTCCATGTCCTTGACGGTGCAGCTGGGAGAGCTATTGCTGGCCAGAACGCTGCCCACTGACCTACAGCTGACAAGAGGGGTGCTTTTTCCTAATTTGCCAAAGGCACCGTATGCAGTGACCTTGGGAGTCATTCATCGAGGCTCAGCCTCTGCCCTACATACTAGATGGATGTGTGCAGGGGAGAGACAAATGCAGTCCTTGTCCACATAGCGTCTAGTAAGGATTCAGGCACGTAATGTGCAGTTACTGTGCCTGTGAAGAGGGTCACAAGAGAACTACAGGGGCTGTGGGAGCTCAGAGGGGGGAAACATCTGGACCAGCTTCGCAGAGGAGGCAGCAAGGCTGGTTAAAACCTAGGTGGATCACAGCCACTGAGTGCCTTTGTGTCTACAATACTCATGCCTTAGTCAGGTGGAGGCTTTTGTATTTCTCAGTGTTTTCATATCTCTTTTATTTACCCTAAACACAACCATTTCAGGAAAGGAAGGCAAATATAATAATTGACTCTTGAAGTAGCCTAAGGCAAGGGAAGAAAATATCATTTCTTGAGCATCTACTATGTGCTAGGAACTTTTCAATGACCACATCTACACTCCCGCTCCACTGCAAAGTTGATGCATTACCCCTTTTATTGATAGGCAGACTGAGGCTCAAGGTGACACAGATTTTTGTCTCTTGGTGCAGAGCTCTCACCTCTGCAGGAAGCCATTTCCCAGCATTTTCCATTGGATTGAACCTGTTAGGACTGTCAGAAAAAGAAATCTTGTCTTATACTAGCTCTACCACCAAAGGGGATTGACTGGCTCATGTACTGGGAAGATTCAGAGGGAAGATGGATTTCTGGGTTGGTTTGATTCAGCAGCTCAACAATGTTATCAAGCACCCTGTTTTCATTCAGTCTTTGCCTTCCAAGATAGTAGCTTGGTCCATAAGCCGCTTCCTCATGGTGGCAAAAAGGCCTCCAGGCCTTACAACTGCTACCATATCTCCTCTTGTGGCTCTTGCAGAAAAGCAAGGAAACTTTTCTCCACCCCGGAAGTTCCTAGCAAATTTTCCTTAGGTGTCATTGCTCCAAATTGGAACACATGTCCATTTCCAAGGTAATGTCAGGAAAGCTTTGGGCTGACCAGCTGAGGCCTGGGTCACCTGAAACAGTCACTGAGGCATGGGGGATGGGATCACCCTGACTGTCTAGATGGCCAGAGCTCACCCCACGCAAAGGTGGCCAGCTCGGTGTTTCATGGGAGTCTGGTCCTGTTATGTGCTTGGAAGGGGGATGCCGGTGGGCAGCCAACAGAGCCCCCAGGGATGCTCATGGCTTATTTTCCATGTTCATAGGACTGAACAAACAGTTTTGCATATTCATTGAAGCAGAAGAGCCTCTGATTGGATGCATGGGTGCATTTCTGGCCTCTTAGGGAAGGAAACAACCAAATGAAGAGGCTCTCAGAGGACTTAGTGTCCTCGATGGTTTCTGGAGGACATTTTTTGTCAATCCCAGCAGAACTGTGCAGTCAGAAACAGAGCCCACATCAGGACCTGTAATCGCCTAATTAATTCAGGCACAGGGGTCCTTTGGCAGGTGGGAGGAGGGTAAGGTGGGTGCCTCTGCCGGGGTGCTCATGGGGCCGGCTGCACGAGGCCCTGGGTAGTCATGGCCGTAGGACAACTCACCCAGGTAGGGAGACTTAGGCACCCAGAGTGTTTGGCAAGGTGCTCAACTTGGCACCCAGCCTCCTCCAACCCAGAGGGCACATCAACTCCACTTTCATCAGATGCAGACAAAGAGAACTGTTAGTTAATGCTGAGCCCTAGGCTGTTCTGTGCATTTTCTCCTTTGCTGCCTGGAACTGGTTCAAGTTCACCCAGGTCCTGGCTTGGGGAGCGCCCACAGGCTCTTCTTGATTGCTTCATTCATTTACTTATCCAGTAGTCATTCTCTGAGCCAGGCACTGGGGGAGCAAAGACGGGTGGTGGCCCATACCCACTAGACTGCAGGGTCAAGTGGGGGAGGGGAGATGCTCGGGAGGGTGAATCGAGGTGCATCCAGGTAGAGAGAAGCTTGAGAAGCTTGGCTGTCCTGGGCGGGGTATGGGCGCTGAGCTCTGAAAGGACTTGGCATTGTTGAGGGATGGAGGCACAGTGGGAGGGGATGGGGACGGGTGGTGTGTGTGGACAAGGAGGGGTGGTGGTAGCAAATGAGACTATAGGGTAACCTGAGGCTGGACAATAAAGGCCTCAGTAGAGATTCTCAAAGGAGTAGGAAATGCAGAGCCTGCCAAGCCTGTAGGCAGGCAGGTTTACAGGACCAAATGCGGCTGTCTGGCAGGCTGTGGTGGTGAGATGGAGCGAATCAAAGAGGAGGGCATATGAGGAATGCTGGGTCAAGGCAGAGATGATTTCCTAGTGGATGTAGGGGGTGGCCAGAGTCAAGGTTACCCTCAAGGTACCTGTATCTGGCTTAGAAAATTCAGTTAGAGGACAGAGGTGCGGGAGATGGGCTTGGGTGGGAAGATGACGGTTCAGAATTGAGGTGCACTTGGGACACCCAGGAGTGTCCAGAGGGCACAGCACAGATGCAGGGCAGGGATGGGGATGTGGGAGTTGGTGCACTGCCATTTTTATTTTGCACATTCCCTTCCAGCCTCTGTTCCTGTGAGAGGCAGTTACAGCTCCCAAGTACTGACAACCTGGGCCGAAGTCCAGCAAGTTAGTGAACTGAGCCTCATTTCCTGGTGCGACATGTGGATAACAGTCGCTACCCCACAAGGCTGTCTCAAGAATTCACTAAGATGATGAGCTCAGCTGGAGCCTGGCATGTGCCAGGCAGGCACACACGACACAGCCATGGCTGTTGCAATGACACGTCTACGCGGGTAGGATGGCTGTGGCATCAGGGACATCGCCTTCTAAACTACACCACCTCCCCAACCCCCAGACAGGAGCAGTCCTGGTAGGCTGCCTCCATGGAAACCAAGGGAAGTGATGCTTCTGCTGTTCTCTGAGAGGGAGGCTTTGCTGTGGGAAATTCATTTTTCCAGGTGGTTCTCTCCATAATAGAAGCAGCCATGCTGCTTCACATCAAGCACGTGGGAAACACAATGTGGTCTCCTGACTGCCCTTCTCCCCTCCTTTCTGCTCTGGGGCCAGGACCACTGGACACAGGGTCAGGTGGTTTTTTGGTTTTGTTTTGTTTGGTGTTTCTTTGGTTTTGACAATTATTTTTTTTAACTTTTTATTTTATGGGGTATAGGTGATTAACAATGTTGTGTTAGTTTCAGGTGTACAGAAAAGTGATTCAGTTATACATGTATCTATTCTTTTTCAAATTCTTTTCCCATTTAGTTTGTTACAGAATATTGAGCAGAGTTCCCTGTGCTATATAGTAGGTCTGTGTTGGTCACCCATTTTAAATATATGGGCGTGTACCTGTCAATCCCAAACTCCCTAATTATCCCTACCCCCCACCCTTCCCCCCTGGTAACCATAAGTTCGTTCTCTAAGTCTGTGAGTCTGTTTCTATTTTGTAAATATTTGCAAACGATGTGACCAACAAGGGATTAGTCTCCAAGATTTACAAACAGCTCATGAAGCTTAATATCATAAAAACAAACAACCCAATCAAAAATGAGCAGAAGACCTAAATAGACATTTCTCCAAAGATGGCATACAGATGGCCAAGAGGCACATGAAAAGGTGTTCAACATCGCTAATTACTAGAGAAATGCAAATCAAAACTACTGAGTTATCACCTCATACCAGTCAGAATGGCTATCATCAAAAAATCCACAAACCATCAACGCTGGAGAGAGTGTGGAGGGAAGGGAACCCTCCTACACTGTTGATGGGAATGTAAATTGGTGCAGCCACTGTGGAGAACAGTATGGAGGTTCCTTAAAAAACTAAAAATAGGGCTTCCCTGGTGGTGCAGTGGTTAAGAATCCGCCTGCCAATGCAGGGGACACGGGTTCGAGCCCTGGTCCAGGAAGATCCCACATGCCGCGGAGCAACTAAGCCCGTGCGCCACAACTACTGAGCCTGTGCTCTAGAGCCCGTGAGCCACAACTACTGAGCCCGCGTGCCTACAGCCTGTGCTCCACAACAAGAGAAGCCACCACAAGGAGAAGCGCACGCACTGCAACAGAGTAGCCCCCACTCGCTGCAACTGGAGAAGAGCCCCCACACAGCAATGAAGACCCAACACAGCCAAAAATAAATAAATTAAATAAATAAATTTTAAAAAACCCAACAACTAAAAATAGAGCTACCATATGATCCTGCGATCCCACTCCTGGGCATATAGCTGGAGAAAAACATGGTTTGAAAGGATACATGCACCCCAATGTTCATTGCAGCACTGTTTACAATAGCCAAGACATGGAAGCAACCTAAATGTCCATCGACAGAGGAATGGATAAAGAAGATGTGAGATATATATATATATATATATATATATATATATATATATATATATAATGGAATAGTGCTCAGCCATTAAAAAGAATGAAATAATGCCATTTGCAGCAACATGGATGGACCTAGAGATTCTCATGAAGTAAGTCTGACAGAGAAAGAGAAATATCATGTAATATTGCTTACATGCGGAATCCAAAAAAAAATGATACAAATGAACTTATTTATAAAACAGGGTCAGGTGGTTTTACATAATGTAATTAACTCACACAGTAGAGGATTGTTCTGCAATGCGGCACCGGCACCAACACCCTGATCCATCAGTGCTTCAAGCAAAGGGAGCTGCCTGACCCTCGGGAATGACAGGCACTGCTTGGACGTTCAGACAGCTTGCTCTGGCTTTAGACAATGACAAGTGTACGTCGAACCCAGCAGAACGGCTGATCCAAATCTCCTACTCTGGTGACTCGTGAGTTCAGTGGAAATAAAGGGCAGAGACAAATAGCGAAGGCCTTGCCCTCACCATGGGGCTGATGGGACCCAGGCTGCAGGGACCGCCTGGGGGTCCTACCTCAGGACTTCTGTGTGTCCAGAGCGTCAGGATCTATTTAGCTCTGGCCTCAGTCAGACCTCAAAGGCTGTTCCCAAAACACTATCCAAAATTCAAGGGATGGGTTGAGGATCAGTGGTGAGAAGAATTTTTCCAGTGTAAATTCAATAACATCTGGTTGGCTCGCATCGGTTGTATTCCGTATAGTTTCTCTGATACCTCAGCAGAAGAATACTAAACAGAGGGTTTGCCTTACACCTTTGATAACGCCAACAGAACGAGAGGCACGCATCTGAAGATCTATGAGGCTCTGGCAGGCATTCCGTCCACAGTATATTTGGCAGGCTCTTCATTCACCAGCATGATTAAACCCCCTCTGTGGACTCGGCAGTAGGCCAGTAGCTATGGGGGCTAAACAGGCACCCTGGATGGACAGATGGATGAATGAGTGAATGAATGAATGAACGAATGAAGAGCAGGACATGTGTCCTGTCCTCAAGCCATCGCATGACTCCTCACATTTCCTTGCCTTGTTGTAACTAACTGGCAGCATTTTCGCTTACCTGTCCTGTCTGGTCCATGTTGTAAATGCTTCGGTAGAGTCAGTCACAGTGTGTGAACATCTGTCTGTCTTCCTACCAACACCAGGTGAGGCATGATGACTTCCTGGTTCCCTATGAGCAGCTTCACTTTTCTGTGTTTTAGCTGAATTTTGCTGGCAGAAATGACAGCCCAGTGTCTGGGGGCAGAATTTAACCCCAAGTAGACTTTGTGTCTCAGACAATAGCAGACACTTCCCTTTCACTTGGTTTATTAGATCCTACCCTAGGTGGAAGAGTGGGCGACTCCCCACTCCTGGAGGGTGTGCACCACACTAGAGAAAATCTTAAGACAACGCATGGGGAAGGAAGTGCTGGGTGGAGCAGGGCAGACTAGGGGCACTCTTCATTTGAGCAAGGTGTGCCACCTGGGAAAGTTATTGCCAAGGACTCTTGCTGAGACACGCTGCCAACACCAGAATTGAAATCCAGGGTGCCAATTAATTTTGGTTCCCATGACAACCGACAGGGTGAGCCCCACCTCCCCCCAGGCAGGGAAGTATCTCTACAAGAGGCCTGGGGGAGAGAGAAGAATAGGGCGTTAGAAAGGACGGGCGAGGATGCCACTTTGGTGGCCCTGGCCAGGACCTCAAAGGTCCTTGAAGGGGGTGGGGTCCAAAATGCCTTCCTTCCATTGTGACCCTGAAGACCAGGAAATTCCCAGAAGAATCCACTGGGGCATGCCTACTCTGTTCAGGGGAGGGAGAGGAAAGAGTTCAGGCCAGGGATGAGGAACTGAGGCTGGGGCAATCTCACTTAAATATCGTTAGCTAACTTTGTGATGTCTGGAGGTCACACTGGCTTCGAGAATGTCACAGTTCTTAGGTCCTGAGTTCCAGAGGAACCACTGATTGATGGGGGGTGGGGTGTCTTAGCTCGAATTTAAATGTACACATGTACTGAGGTTGGCTAATTTAAGAGAAGGCAAAACAAAAGAAAGTATGTGTGTGTTGGAGGAACCCTCGATCCACGGCTGCTGGCCTTTGCTTTGAGATATTTCTGGCTCGCATTCAACAGTCTGTACTAATTGACATTTGTCTGTTTTTCCTCTGTGAAGGCTGCCATCCCTGTGTCATTAGGACACTGGCACCACAACTATTTCTGATCCTGAGCGGTAGTTTCTTTCTGTCAGGGCCAGACGCTGCAGCAATTATCATAAAAGAAAAAACAGTCGGATAAGGAACTTGCTTTGCAGGCTTAACGAAATTAATAGACTAGTCTCGTGACCAGAAAGACTTCCCTTTTATCAGCACCAGAAAGTTCTCAGGCATCTGTCTGCATAGTACAAAAGGAGCCCAGATCTCTTTATTTCTGTTCAACTCCTTTCCCCCACCCCCAAACCCTGGCTCAGTGTTAGAGAAGACACACTCAACAGCAACAAGATGACTGCCCTGACAAAGAAGCAGAGAGCCTGGGAGATGTATCTGAAAGGCTAGTGAGAGGAGCTCATTTTTCTGATTCCATTATGGGCACCATCGGTTGGAGAAGCAATTTTTAAAAAGTATTCCATCTTCACACAGTGTAAGGTTTTGAAGTGTTTGCCCCCAATTACTGCAGCAGTGGCGGGATGTGGATTAATTTGGAAATAAGGAAATAAGGAAAAACTTTGGGTGAGGTAGAGAGGGCTACTCTGGTGGGAGGCTGGGGGCACACTTCCCGGGTAGCCAAGTTAATGGGGATTAATGAGCTGCCAGAGCAGAAGAATCAGCTGTGCCCTTGGCAACCAGCCTGAACATGCTTCACAGAAGGCCCAGGGATGCCTCCCTGTCCTGAGAAGCTGAGGCCTTCGTTCTCAAGCACGCCTGGTATGGCTTCCTCCTCCAGGATGATGGTGGCATCAGTGGTGTGTGCCCCTCAGCTCACGGCTAGGAGGAGCCTCCCCAGTGGGGCTGTGGATGAGCATAGCCTCATGGTCACAGCATCACCCTCCCTCCCCCATGAGGGACAATGGAAATGATCCACATGGGACAGGCTGACCCAAGACAAAACTGGGTCTAGACTTCACTGCTCATTAGCCTTAGACAGATCCTTTACCCTCAATGAGCCTCGGTTTTCTCATCTATAAAATGGGCACAGTGATGGCACCTATGTAGAAGGGTAGTGAGGATTAAATAAGATATCAGATGTGAAATCAGAAGCTGTAAAGTGCTCTTACACTTGCCATATTGTTGTTTTTAGCTGCTGTCCACTGTGCTGTGTCAATGGCACCTTTGGGAAGAAGAAAGGAGTGGGGAGAGTCCAAGAGGAACAGAGACTGCTTCTGATGCCCCAACGTCATCTTCTCCTCCCATCCCAGTCACTAGAGGCCCGAGCGTGCTCCGGCAGCCATTCCTGATCTGAGTTAGGATTCTTCTACCTTCCTGAAAAAGTGAGATGGAAACGCCCAGGAACCTCCTGCTTCCTCTGGGGCTTCGTCAGGTGCTCCCACCTGGGGGCAGTCCCTGTCCTTCTCATAGTCAAAGACCGTGAACAACTTGATGGCAGGAACCAGGCCACTCGGCCGACGCATGTGGACCACACAATGTGGTCCACTTGGCCGCTTTGCTGAAGGAGGAGCTGAGTCCCCAAGGGCCCCCCCCCAGGAGATGAAAGTTGTTTCACATTTCTGTCTGACTTCCTATTATCAAAAAATGCCCCCAACCTGTAAAATGCTGTTAAAAATGCTCTAGCAGACCCTGGCGGACACCAATTAACCTCAGAAACAGAAACAGGAAAGGAAACGGCACTGCAGCAGGATGGATCTCCCTGTCCCCTCCCCATCAGTGATTTGGAGATGAAGAGGGCACATTTTGCTCGCTTATTGAATGTGTAGCAAAAAAAATGAGTAAAAGCTGAACAGAACAGTCAGTGGAGGGTCAAGTGTTCGCTTCTGAATGGTGCTCGGGCAACAGGCACAGTGCCTGCTCACAGAAACAGCACTGTCTGCACAGATGAACAGGACACAACAGCCTCCTCGGGTGGCGTGCCCGATCAGGGTGGTGCACCAAGGCTGGGAGCAGGGGTCGAGGATGTGCCGTGGGAGGAAGGCAGGGGCTGGCTGGGCAATCAGCTGGGGAAGGTGGGGGCTGGGGCGGGAATTCTGGTTCAGCCAGAATTCAGGAGGCCGTTTCTTTGCTGGTCTCCAAGCAAACAGAGAAAGCACCGCCTGGTCAGTGGGTGTGATCCTTGTGATGTCCGCATAACGGCCCCCATGAATTCACGCTCAGAGCCAGCATGACTCATGGCCTTGAATCAGCCATTGTTGAGCCTGAGGGAGGCAAAAGGGAAAACAATGGAAAAAGGTGTTGGGAAGAGAAAGTCCTGTTCTGTCCTCCTGTGAGAAGTGCCCATTTGGCAGAGTCATGGCAGGGACAATGGTATAGGAGATGCCCTTGAGAATTTTCCGACTGTCAGGCTGAGAGGCAGAGAGGAGTGGGGAAGCCGCTGTCACTGACAATGGGAGGAGCAGAGCAAGAATCCACTCATTCACAGGTATTTATTAAACTTCTCTCTGAGACAAGCACCGTTCTAGGCACTGCAGATACCCTGGTGATCAAGACATCGTCCTTCTCATGGCGCTTTGTGGGGACACAGACAATGAAAACGGGTGCTGTCACATTACTTTTCCTTAAGCTCCTGGAAGCCAATACTCAGTTCCACATAGTGTGTTGAGATCACTGGAAAAATTCTGTCTTAGTGCATTTGGGCTGTTATAACAAGATACCATAGACTGGGTGGCTTATGAACAACAAACATATCTTTCTTACAGTTCTGGAAGCTGGGAAGTCCAGGATCTCGGTGCCAAGACATCTGGTATTTAGTGAGAGTTCCCTCGTTCACAGACGGCACCTACTCCCGGGACCTCACTTGGTGGAAGGGGCTAGGGTGCTCTTTGGGTCTCTTTTATTAGGGCACGAATCCCATGTCTGAGGGCTCTGTCTTCCTGACCTAATCACCTCCTAAAGGCTCCACCTTCTAATGCCATCACCTTTGGTGGTAGGTTTCAACATATGAATTTGGGTGGGGGGGAACACAACCATTCAGACCATAGAAGATTCTAAGATGAATAAATAATACATGGTCCCTGCCCTCGAGGAGTAGCCGCCTCATGGAGGAGCTAGCGGGGCAGTAGTGAAGCATCCCAAAAGAACAGGATAGTAAGGGAAAGACGATTCACCTTGGAGGGCTAAATTACAGACTCGAGACCTCCTGCATCAGAGCTGAGGAGGCAAAGTCACCTTAAGAGAGAGTCCTCAGTCAGCAGGACTGTAATTGAATTTAATGCTTAACTTCTATAAAGAAATATTGTGTTGAGCAGAAGGAAAGTCACTGGAAAGGATCCGCTCCCCAACCCGTCCCGGCACTGCCTGGAGATTCGGTGGCACCCTGGTCTAGTCCCCAGTGCAGGGATGTTCTCGTGGCACAGAGGCACTTCCTGGGCTACCTGTGGGTGGCAGGTAGCATTATCTGTACAGAATTCTTCCTTCCTTTTCTGCCCTTGCTGTGGCTTCCCTGAGAGGGAATCTACTCCCCACTGGCTGCCTTTGGCCTTGGCTTGCTTCAGCCAATGGAATGCTAGTGGACGTGATATGAGCAGGGCTTTCAACACCCTTGCATGGTTTGCCTGCCTCTTATGCTCCTGCCATTTGCCAGAAGAGTTTCCCCTAGTAAACCCTTTCAGTCTGGGTCCCAGAATGAGACACACATGGAGCTGACCTGAACCCAACCTGCAGCCTGAAACAGAGCCTATGGAGTCCACCTGCAAACATGTGAATAGAAAATTAACACTGTTGCTGTAGGTCACTAAGCTGTTAGGTTTGTTACGCAGCATCACCATTCTGGAAACCCGACTGATACATAGAGCCCAATGTGGGTAAATGCTCTAATCTCAGAAGTGGCATAATTGCTCATTTCTGCTCTGGTTCCTGGCTCACTAAGCCACCTTCTACTTATAGTTTAGCTTCCTATACAGTGTGCCAATCAGAGAGAAGGAGCTTGTTGGGTCTACGTTAATTTTATTAGTTTGATTTCTCCTCATTAATTATCATGTTGGCTTTCCACATCAGTCTTGTGAGTGGTTAAGAGAGGCAGGCTTGAGGCTGATCCCCTCTGAGACCCCGGCAAAGTTCCTCATGTGGGGCTGCCGTGTGTGACTGAACACTGCACCCTGGTGAAGGCCCTGAGGCCATGTCCATGGAGCCTCCTTGTGGCTTGACAGCCAGCCAGCCTTCCTCAAGCCATACAGCCTAGCAGCCAGAGACACTCTTCCAAGACAAGTTCACAAATCACTGTAACACCAGGTAGCATCACCAAGATGAGATAATCATGCCTGATTACAGCAGTGGCTCTCAATTCAGGGAGGGGGATGTATCATATGATATAAAATCTCATCATTCCCAGTGGCAGGGTCCTAATGAGGGGGGTTGGAGGGTGGTGTATAATCATGGTAACAATCCCTGGTCTCACCCCATTGCCAGTTGATGACCGCTGTGTTGACAGGATCAGAAAAGCTTTGTGGGGGACGCACCATCCAAGATGAGCTTTGGAGGAGGGGTAGAATTTTGTGATGCAAAGATGGGGGTGGTGGGGACTGCAGATGGAGAGAATGGTATAGGCAGTAGCATGGCCAGCAGCAAGATGTGTGTGCAGAATGAGTTTGGGGAACAGCAAGGCAAGCTGACCTCTGTGGCTAGTGGACAGGACACAAGCTGAGACTGTGGGAGACTTGAAGCTGGGCAGTCAGGCCTGTGCATCATGGAGGGTCCAAACGCCTGGCTGTGGTATGAATGCTCTGAGGGGTGGGCAATGACAAGGCACAGACCTTGGCTCCTTGCACCATAGTCCAGGGCCCTTCAGGCAGGCCAGGCAAGCAGACCAAGATTCCAGGGGCCTGGTATGATCCTGCTGCCCCGAGAACCTGGGCCCACTCCAGTGGCTGCAGCCCCTAGCTGGAGGAACATCTTGTCTGGAGCTCGGGGAGGGAAGGCAGGCCAGCACTGACCTCACTGCATCCCACCAGCTTTGCTTGGCCTGACTGATCTCTGCTCGTCCCTGTGTCTGCCTGGCTGTCAGCCTCAGCTCTGGGCGCACTGGTGTGCGGTTTGCTTCTCTGGCAATGGTGTGTCCCCAGTGACCACGGCTGCCCCTGAGGTGCAAGCCAGTAAGCAATGCCCAGCAGCCCCTGGGCTGGCTCCCGGCCCCTGGACGGGGCATCAGTCCTGCTCTTCCTTCTACCTTCTTGGAACAGAAGAGACTGGGCAGACCCGAGCTCAGGGGAAAATTGTCTCCACTGAGCCTGGTCACTTCCCCCAACTTCCCTGTCTCAATAAAGATCCACGTGGCATGAGGGAGGGGCTTAGGCTCTGTGAGCCATGTCGGACTCAACATGTAGGACTTGCAAAGAGGGTCAGATACTTCTATGAGCCAAGGCCTCTGCCTGTCTACCCTTGGCCTCTGGCTGTCCAAGCTGCTTCCAGAGATGATTCTGTCTAGAGAAACCAATCTATTCATTCATGCCTTCAACAAGCATTTCCTGAGCATGGCCGGGCACTGTGCTGGGCCTTGGCAGGACAGTGATAAACAAGACAGACCAGGCCCCTGAGCTGACCCTCTGGTGAGGCATATCTGGGCCTGCAAGGCAGGTCTGCACCAATGATGAAGAAAGAAATCTGGTGCCCATTTTGGGCTGGGCTGTAGTTGGCAAGTCCTTAGCTGTGGCTGAGAGCCTGGAGCCCATTGAGCGGTACTGATTAGATTCCATGGCAAATGGGACATTCTCTGCCTGACAAGGGTGCGGGGGGGGGAAGGACATGTGCCACCACCCCATCACTGTCCTCCAGGCCTGTCCTGTCTTGATCTGTGCCCCACCTGACTTCCAGTGCCTCCTTCTTCCCACTCTACCCCTTCAAGCCCTCGAACTCCATTTTAACCAAATTCCACACACTTAAAAATGTTATAATGCTGTGCACTGGGGAAAGAAGTGGATGTGGTTTGCCCTGGTTTGTGAAGCCACTGAGAAGGCTCCACCTTGTATTCAGTGGCAGAACTGCCATCCAGGCAGCCCTGCAACAAGACTGTGTCCCTCCCACTAAGGGCCAAAGATGGGTGGTTTGGTAGGAAAAGCTCTTTAAAATTTTTGCGTGGATGACAACCTGCAGTGAACTCAGATAAAAACAGAAAGGTGCTGAGTAAACATTAGCCTGTCTCCCCCTACACTGTCTTCACTGGTCTTATCAACAGAAGGTACTCGATACTTTCTGGTTGAATTGCTCTGCTTTCAGTCCTTTCCCATCCAGAATGGTTCAGAGTCTATGCAGGGAGGATTTGTCCCTATGCAGGGAGAGGCCATAGCAGTGAGAGGCCCGCATACTGCAAAAAAACCCAAAAAAAACAAAAAAACAAAACCAGATTGTTTGGGTTTTCTTGAGTTCTTTAGTGTTCTTTATATCTTCTACATACAAGTCCTTTATCACAATATATTTTTACTTTGTATAGTCAGTTATCTCTTAGAACAATTTAAAATAAGAAAAAAGTGTTTAAAACATTTACCTTGTCTTAAACTATTTTTGGAGATCTTAATATCTTTGTGTAGATTCAAATTTCTGTCTGATATCCTATTTCTTCTGCCTGAAGGATTTTCTTTATTTTTTTTTATTTTTTATTTTTTTTTGCGGTACGCGGGCCTCTCACTGTTGTGGTCTCTCCCGTTGCGGAGCACAGGCTCCGGATGCGCAGGCTCAGAGGCCATGGTTCACGGGCGCAGCCGCTCCGCGGCACGTGGGATCCTCCCGGACCAGGGCACGAACCCGTGTCCCCTGCATCGGCAGGCAGACTCCCAACCACTGCGCCACCAGGGAAGCCCTAATATT